AATATACTTCGGCATTGCGTGCATGTTGGTTTGTTAACTCTCGTCGATTATTTATTTACATATGAATTCCGGCAAAAAGTCAAGTTGGCAAAAAGACTTGTTTACAATTAAGAGTGGCCCTTGTTTTTGAAAAACATAATGCGATTCTTTAAACAAGTCTTCAACTGATTCCATTTTACATAAGACTAGATTCTCCGGCGACGGTCGGAACAATTTTAAACTTTTTGTGTTTTTATCGGATTTGTGCCATAGCGCAAAGCACAAAAATAGAATAAAATACTTTAGTTCTGCCGTACTTAAGGGCATAAGCAATGCGTTTGATATTAGGCTAACTCAGAGTTTAAAAAAGATGCTGCCTGTTATCCTTAAATAAATTAAACTGTGCAGAAACTTTTCCTTTGTAAGGCGCATCGTCAGAAACAACTGTGCCCTCTGTATAAAAATAACTAGACCTGCTTTACTGCCAAATTCTTTCTTAATGATGATTTTGACGGAAGAAGTTCGCCTGCATAAGAACTTTTTACCCTATAGTCAGGTGATATAATATACTTTGAAATATTTCACTATAATAATTTACACTGAAGTACTGGCGTCGCGCAGTCGTATTCTTAAAAGCCAGAAAAAAACGCATATTATGCGATGCTACGTGTTTTAGTAAACAGGAAACACTCTTGCTCTACGTTGCCGTTTTCGGGCAGCTCTTATAGATATCCGCCGACGGATCCTTGAGCAACAACTCTTTTGATACTCCACATGTTTCTGATCTACAAATACTTTAAAAATAAATAAGTAAATTCACCTACACAGTTGTCAACTCGCAGACCATTATTCCTCTTGAGCACTGTTCCTATCGCTTTGCCTATCAGTCCACTTCTTGTGTATTTGCAGATAGCGCGTGCATGTGATTGGAGGGTACCCAGCACTAGCTTTCCATTGGACCTTCAGGGCATATAAATAAGAAAAGTGGCAGAGAGTGAGCGCTGAGTAAAGCAAGAACAATGGATGTTAAAACGGTTAACGGAGGATATACCTTCACCCTACCAGGCATTTTGAAACTGGTCACAGCCCTTCTGGCCTTCGTCAACATGATTATCATTGCGGCGGCCCTAAATACTGAATATGCGGAATATGGATACCTGCTCTTTGTCTCCATTTTCGTTTGGCAAATGTGTCTGCTCCTGTATGCCCGGCACGTATATGACATCAACGGAAAGAACATGGACATCTTTGTAAGGCACACTTTGCCTTTTTGGTGTTTAATTTTAATCGAAATGTCTATTTGCACTGTTTTCTGGTTATTCGCAAGCGCAAATTTTGTCCAAACGCATATAAGTGCTTCTTTATATAGAACTATAGGCATGCATTTGCTTAGCAGGATAAACGTTGTTCTAAAGTATGCAAAATAAGCAATGCATCAATCGTCGCTGAAAATCATTGTCAGAATCCTTTACCAGCAGCCTTAAACGCAGCGACGGGATGAATAAATTATGGTGTGGCGAAGGAATGTGGGCCCCAGCCAGCTCGGTTATTCTCAGATATTTATTATACTGCCGATCAAAACCGAAGAAAACCGATGGGTCACTGGCTTGGTGTTTGAGTGGTCGCTGGATCGAGCCTTAGGTTATCCACAACTGGGATTTGGTATGACTGGCTGATGAAAATTAAGGACTCCAGTGCCCCTTTTCATTGCTGACTGAACATTATCACGATGAATGTAGCTGATAGCAGATTCGAGTGAAGAGCAAACGCCGTGTTTTAAACATCGTCAACTTTAAAAAAATAAAATGTGCGGTGCTAGGAAGGACAGATAAAGGTAGAACTCCGAGAAAGTCTTGAAGAATTCGCACAATATCCCGCTGTTCGCCTCACGTTCTCTGTTATTGTAGTCCAATGCTGATATACAGTAGCTGGCCTATCTCACGCGATCCTTTAAAAAAAATTGCTGTTACAAAAACTGCCTAAACTGCGTCTCTCAAAGCCTTATTGCACAAGCAGAACGGTCCGTAGTAAAATGAACACATAATGCCGCCAAGCAGATCAGTTTACCTTGATAAGAAATACTAGCCTATTTCGAAAATCGAAAAGTTTGGAAAAATGAAATAAAGGGCGTGGCTTAGTAGATTACATGCTTTAATAAGGAGAAATGATCGAGTGAGCAAGGCAGCACAAGTAAAATTACTTTTGCCAGTAATAATTTAAGGAAATGTCAGGATAAACATGCTTCCATTTTGTGTGCAATGTAAATTGCGATTCTTACGAAGGTACCACAAATTCATTAATGTGTTACAAAGAGAATCGTCAGACGTTGTTCTGTTTGTGCATTGCTTAAGGTGCGTTGAACTAAGATAATCATATTACCGCTTTATTGAAACGATTTGTAAGTTATATAAGTAAGATATTTTGAAAAGTCGTATGTGTACATGTCGGTGATTGACGCGTACATTACAGTTTATTTGTTCAGTGCAATCGTAAACGCACCATTTTGCACAGACTGGAACATTATTGCTTCCCACACATTTTCTTGTAGTTTTTTTGACGTTTAAGTAGGACGAGGTCCAGAACGTTCTTGGAGTAGTGATGTACACTTAAGGTTTTTCAGTGCTTTAAGTTGATTGCCTATAAATGAGTAGATATTTTTCCACGTTTAAAAAAAACCTCTTAAATGCATTAACCTAAATAGCGGGCAATTTAATAAAATCTCAAATACAGCTGGCTGTTTGGGTCAAGATTTTCGAATCACCTAACATATCGTCGGAGTACCCAGAAAAAAAGCTCACAAACTAATATGGCCTTGCTCCATTGAAAAACAAAAACATTCTGTTAAATATTTCAGGCAAAATTAACCCCTCTCCTTCAAGAATTTCGATTTTCTTGTCCACACGAACTGCATGCTATCTTTTTATAGGAAGCAGTTGCGTTGAGTTTTTGCATCGTTTTCGGAGCCATCGCCTTCATTATGTCAGCCGTGTATGCCTCACCCGGAGGAAGAGGATCTAACAAAAAGGCTCTGATCGCCATAACCGTACGTTCCGCCTTTTACTGGCCGTATAAAGTCTCAGTATCAACTAGATATCTTCGCCGTATATAAACCAATTGAAAAAGCATTATCCATGTCCCAAAGATTTTATTAGACATTAAGAACCGAGAGTCGTCTTTATAAAAGACATTCAATAATTTGTTTAACGTTATGTCGATTAATTTCGCTACTGTGGATGCCCCGTGTGTTAGTCCGGCGTACATTTGTTCCATTTCCCCGATTCGTGTCTACCCCTAATCTGACCAATGTGCCATTGATGCACGATTAATCGGATTCATTGAAATATAATTGGCAAGCGAAATCACATATCCATACAATTTTATTTGCTGCAAGTTAATCTACTTGGTGTCAAATGTCTTTATACATTTTTCTGCTGTTGGATTACAATTATTTTAGGATCAGTCTTTAACTTCCGGCCAGTTTTTCACTATTTTCAGAATTTCTTCCATAAATGCAGTGGATTTTGGACATTTATCTGAAATCCTGTAATTAGGGTATTCCTCAAAAGCATAAAGCACAGTCTTTATGACAAAATGGGCCATATTCATCTATTCCCCGAATTCTCAAAAGGGGTCAGGAACAAGCACGTCCACAACCGAAGTCTAATCTTGTAGTGCTTAATATCAATTAAAAAAACTACATCCAAAAGGTTACTTCTGTGTAAATCACTTTTGTTAGACATTATTCTAAGGAAAAGATGGGGATGTTGCTTATCTCCGAGGTAATGTCAAGATAGCAAATTAAGGATATTTAAAAATTTATAAATTTATCTAAAAATAAATGATGCAATTCTGACTGAATATGGAAAATCACACTTATATTTTTATGGCAAAATATATTTCACCAAAATCGATCATGTTCAAAACATAGTGTTGACTTGCGAATGCAAAAACAATGTTTTGCAGAGTACACATTTAGAAGTTGCGAAATTTCATATTCTTCTGACACTTTCGTTTGTACATTTCACATAAGCTGCATGCATGTTCTTTTAACTTTATATGAATTGGCAATTACCAATGGGGTAAAAAACTATGATCAAATAGGTTTTACCACGTTTTTGGATAAAAGACGTCTGGCAATTCCAAAAATTTACCTTAAAAGGAAAAATCTTTCTCCCTTTCTGAGAAAAAGGAGATCTTTAAAGTTATCTTTGCCTGATTTTTATCAACTGAAGCGTAGACTATCCGGTTCTGCATGCAAAATTATCAATACATTTCTAGATTTATTTTTGTTCTGCTATATCATAGCGCAGAAAAATAGGTTTAGTGCAATCATACTAAAAAACACAGGAAACGTGTGTAAGATCAGAAAACGTCGGATTACGTAAAAATAATTTTACGCGTCAAACATTGAGCTAGAGATCCATTTATCCTAATTATAGCGTTTAATCCGGTCCAAACCCCGTCAATTAAATCAAAACTAGGAGATCAAAAATAGCCTAAAATCCCTTGTCCAATTTTGTTAGTTTCTTTGTAGGAATTTTCGATCCTACTCATTTTTTTCTTTTAAGGCTTGTTTTATTTGTTGACGTAAAAATCTCTAAGTAAGCTGTTTCGGGAAGAATTATTTAGCAGGTAATTTAGGTCGGTTTGGTGACTTCCATCGTCAGAACAATGTATTTTTGCTGGATCTGCTGCAAGAGATTGGGATATTACATCTGCATATGACACATAAAAAAGTTTGTGCATAATATAACCTACATTATAGGGTTGTATATTTAAATAATATTAATCTGCGTGAAGGGAAGCCATTTTGTCAAAATGATGATTTGTTGCCTATCA